TATAAATGAATAAGATACTTGTGACATTGAAATGGAAGCTTGGAGTTTTGGAAAAAAGAATTCACCATCCAAACACACTTTTTCTTGTAGTTTTGCTATCAACCTCAAGTAGTGGAGAAGGTAAGGAGGGATACAGGTGCTCCACAAGGAAAGTTTACTTTACCTGTGTGTCTTTCTCTCCTAACCAAATCATTCAGCAACTGTTCAAGGTTACAATGGCACTGAATGAATAGTGGTTATGAACCTGGGAGTTCCAGCTTTTCCAGCATACCCACCCCCATCACATGACCACAATGCTTGGCAACGCTTTCACACTGACAACCAACTGCTAAGTGCTCCATGATCACGTGAATGCCAGTTGCATCCTTGCATGGTGGCCTCCCCAGAAAGTCAAAGGAAAGCCAGTAGGAATTGCAAGTCACCGGGATAAGTTTCCTTGACCTGCGCACCTTCTCCCAGCCCCTCTGGGTTTGCATTATGCCAGCCACTTGCTCACCCATACACACCTCTCCATCTGTCCCAAAGGTGCTTTTTTTCAAAGGCAACTGCACTTTCTTGGTGGGGGGGGGGGAGTTTGAAGACATTTTGCTTCTCATTCAAGAAGCTTCTTCATCTCTGACCGGTCAGAGCTGAAGAAGCTTCTTGAATGAGAAGCAAAACGTCTTCAAAGAAAGTCCAGTTGCCTCTTGAAAAAGCACCTTTGGGAGAACCATGACCAGGATGGCTGAGAATCTCCACAGATACCCTCTCAACCTGTGCCCCATCCCACACACACTCCCTGATCCACACCACATCCATTTGCATCCCCCTAACTTGCATGGCACCTCATGTGTCCATCCCACGCATCCTTCCCTACCCCTATGGCACCTCTCCCACACCCTCCAGACCCTCCCCCATACATTCCCCGCCAGCCTTGTTCCCTCCCTTATCTGCCTGCAGGCTTGGCACTTGCAACATCCTGTCAGGTTCCCCAGTGACTTTTGTTATGGGAAGCTGTTCAGGAAGGGGCCTTGCCTAAAGATTGTGGGATTCAGTTAATGACTTGGGACTGCAGAGATTGCTGTTGCTAAACAGGGCAGTTGTGCTTTACAACTGCATCATTTAGCAGCAGAAATTCTAATCCCAATTGTCGTCCTAAGTCAAGGACTATCTATAAGCCTCAGTTAGCAGTTCACCATGGTGTCCTAGGAGTAGACCATATAATCTTGTAAGGGAGAGCAGATTATTCTGATTTTAAGAGGGTTTTTCAATAACTGGGCCCAAATCACTTCAGTGTAACAAATGGATCTCTTCACCTGTTCTCCAGAAAAGTTGTATAACGGTCGAATGTCACTTCCATTTAGAATTGTTACCTGGTGGGGCAAAAAAAAAAAAAGAGAGGAAAAACAGATGTAACATCAAACATTATCTCTCCACAGAAATTTACCAAACACTTTGAGCTTCGAGAAGAGGAATCTAAATGATTCCTCTTGACACAAATGCCATTTTCTCATTGCTTCTTCTAGCTTCTTTTTCCCCCCTGCAAAAATGAATTCAGGAGGTGAAACAGTCACAATATTTTCCATCTGGGTTGGTCCAGCTGAGAGCAATCTTATCTAGAAGCACATCTGGACGCCAAGCTACAGTTGTAGCTTTAAAAAGAGACATACAGGTAGTCCTCAACTTGCAACAGTTTGTTTAGTGACCATTTGAAGTTACAAGGGCACTGACAAAAGTGACTTACGGCTGCTTTTCACACTTATGACCGCTGCAACATCCCCAGGGTCACGCGGTCAAAATTCAGATGCTTGGCAACTGATTCATATTTATGACAACGGCAGTGTCCCGGCATCATCTTTTGTGACCTTCTGACAAGCAAATCAATGGGGAAGCCAGACTCACTAGGAACCCACCACTGTCCTTTTCTCATAT